GCCGCGTTGGCTTGTGTTCCATAACTTACATCTTTAGACATCGTTATGTGGCCTGTTAATGTACTTTCAGTGGGCGATGGAGTGACGTAAGTTTTTGGGGAACAAAAGTAGGAATTTACGGAGGGAGTGGGCATGGCATCACCAGAGATTGGAATGTTTAAGAAAATCTAGGAGAGCGCTTGTTGTGGATTCTGTTCGGAAAGATGTCTCTCGCGGGGCCGTTATGTTGAGTGGGCCAAGTTTCAAAACACGAGAGGACCAGACAGTTTCCAAAGGTCAACACTCGTGCAAGTGGGAATAAGGTTGTCAATAGTAGGGTAGATAGAGAGGAAGTTGCCACACATGACTGACTCCAGATTGTGAAGCGATTCGCCTACGGAATAGGCATGTGCTCTGAGACAGCTGAAAAATGCGACAATCAATAAATTCCACTTTCTGTATGCGTCGGGTAGCATACAGAGACATCTCAGTCAAAGTGTGACATTCTTCACCCAGAACAAAGTCAGACTAGCTAGGAAACCTAATAGGACAGTGTTCCTTTTGATCCTCTAACCAATGACGGCGAAGTCAATAGAATATCAAGGTGGTTGGAAGTGTAATAATATCGCGTCAAAAACCAGGAACAAACAATCGACATACACAGCACCTTTTGGTATCAATAAAAATCAGACGTGAATCATTAAAAACAGAAGGTCATCTACCCGGAACTATGAGCTCGGTGGCAAATGCTAGTTTCGGTAGATATTTTTCAGGATATGGTCTGACGAAATTTCACGTAACTGACGACAGTGACCTTGAGACAAAGACGAGAGTGCATAGTGGACAGTGAATGTTGAAAGCCCTCAGTAATGCTCACTCGTTCGCTCCTCGCTTCGACACGAATCTCATTAGTTCCGTATGGTGCGGTTGACCACACTTCACTTCACTACGACAGACTACAGCTTAAACAAAGTTCGCATTTGTAGGGCTACACGCATCTGCACCCAAAAACACAATGCTGTCGAGAGAACAACCTTGTCCGGTTCCAACTGACACTCTACTGTCTCATACACAAAGGTTTCGGCTAATCTATAGTGGATAGGTGACCCATAATTGGCGACAAATATTGATGATTAGATACTGTTTAACCACTGACCACTAACGTTCGTGTGAGTCAACAAATGACAAGCCTCAAGCGATAGACGGTTGGCGTCCCGAGTCCCAAAACGAAAAGTTATGCACTTATTCTATCCAAGTGAATCACTGGCGGTGTACCATGTGAAATCACAGAATACGGACGACCCATGGGTAGATAACTCGATATGGATTGTCCTACACTTAACACAATATGCTCTGCGCTCCACTGCTTACAGACTGTGTCAAACCTCCAATGTACGTCCCAACACCACTATGGTTATGTTCCAGCTATGTGCATGACATAAGTACTCTTTATCAACCTCATTATCATGAAAGTAGTGGTACTGATGATGATAGAAACCAGCGTTGCCATGCGGAAAAGCTCACCTTATTTATTCTGTTATCAGAGTCCCTAACCAAACAAAATACCTGATGTAATCAAGGTACAGCATTATCAAGTAGCAACAATTGGAACCATAGCAAGTATATCTGTTCATGGGAATATATTCCAATATTTTTCACAAGGTGTTTGATAAAACTCCTCAGATCACCCGATAGAAGCCTGAAAGTGACCGATAGAAAGACACAGATGAACCAATGTGAAGTCGAGATGTCCCGGAGGTGCTCAGTCTTTGGCACGAAATTGGCAATGTTGCATCTCTACCTTCAAGACATCTTAACTTCACATCTAACAATCTCAAGGAATGTGTCCAGAATATCTCGAAATCTCGAAGTTCAGAACACGAACGTGAATTTCCATCCAATTCACTATTAGTCAGGACGACAATAAACTTCCCCATGACGGTGACGGAGATATAAAAATTATGCGGTTATGATCCTAGTCACTGACATTTGCATGTGTAGCATGCAACTCGGGGCCAGTCACGGCATGATTCAAATGTTTACTACACCCCAAGAATGTTAAATGCGGGCGCTAATCTTGGGGGTGGGGGTGGATGCTTCAAACTGTGAGACAATATACGAGTTTTTCCAATAAGTCTGTGCACGGGTTGGTGCAAAGTACTTCTGTCGACCCTGAAAGCAAACATGAACCAGGTGAAACCGAACCTCAACCGGATAGTTGAGAAACGCTCTGCTATGTGCACAAGAAGGGTCAGGCACAAAGAGCAGCAGTACTCACGTTGCATGTTTTTCTGCCAGTATGAAGTGCAGAACTCACAGAAACCACTGCAGTCAAGTATAGGTGTCCTTCATAGAGCTGTGCTGAATACTCAGAAAATTACTTCACAAGACCTCAAAACGGTGGTTCATCTGCGACGCAACAGCTCAGTAAAAGTGAACATCATTTCTTGACTCAACCAGTAATGAATGGAAGGCGACACAAAAACTGTACATGGACCGAAATTCATCGACCCTGAATTTAAATTTTCAACAAAAACGCGTACATTGCAGAGGTTCCCGAACCAGAAACAAGCTACGCAACACAGCAAACAACTATGGAAGGCATTTGTGTTCAACGGGACTTTTCTTTTGGAATACTTCCTCTGACTCCGACCATGCTTTGTTAAGGACTATTCATTCTCTAAAAATGAAGCGAAAGTGTTCACTACAGATTAGATGTCTAAAGGAGCCTTTGATCGGGAAGCGAAATAGGCTCAGAGACAGTTGTCCATGATGACGACGATGCAACCAGGAAAGAAACACTGGACCTATCTCCCGGATACCATAAACACGGAGGTTCGACTTGTTTTCCACTTTCTGTTCAAACTGGAGAGATATTCCTACACGGTGCGTTAACCAAGCAATCACAGAACAGCCATTGTTGAGCTTGAACCAGGTTGCGTGCATGCATGTATTGTAGCACACAGGTAACTCAATTGAACGCTATGGCACTACAATTATTCGTCACAATACCGATTGTGAGACGTCATATTCCCCACTGTTGTGAAACTTCCCTTTAAGCCGGCCACAAAGGTGTCAACGAAAAAAAACATAGACATGATAAGCTTGTTTAGCCCAACGCGATGCTTCGATGCTTCACGTACACTTCACGCATTCTGAGTGCCCGAAAAATCTAGTGGTACCATCACTTTGGAGTAATCTGGAGTCTTCTGTCATTCGTTCCTGCAAGGATTACTGTAATGCCGGCGCCGCACTACGAACGACTGAATTAAGGGAACTGATGGTGCTTTGTCAGCGTGGTTGTAAGCAGACTCCTATGACATGTACTTGTGCAATAAGGTTGACCTTCAACTCAGAGAGCAACTGATCAATAGTACCAGGACCAACATCTTTCAGTTATTCTTTGGAACTTGTTTTACCAGCAAGGCCGTTTCGTGTCAAAGAATTGTCTGTAGTAAAGACGACTGTTTAGACGAGTGAAGACGAATATAATCGGCACTTTCTCAGTCTCTTGAAGTTATCGGCAGTAATAATTACAGTCTGAATACAGGGGTGTTAACAGCCCGGTTGCATGTATTCCGGAAGAGATGGACTAGGGGTACGGTGCGGACACATTTGGGTTCGCAGTCATGACGTGACCAGGAAAGAATTAAAAGGGATTGTTTATAGCATAATTCAGGCGTGCGGCAGGTACCATGCCGAAACGAGCGGTGTGGTTGTCGATCAACCTGACCACTGAGGTGGAGACTTTGTAATTAGTTAGACAGAAATATACTGTTTCGTATAGTTGCTATTGATTTGGATGTTGTCCACATAAACAGATTTTCGGTACAGATGACTTAACCAGTTAAGGCTCATTGGCAGCGAACAGAGGAGATACCTGGCCAGTATAAAAAAACCGCGCCACTAGCCCAAATCGGTGTTTCAATAGTGGTGTTGTTGTCAATGACGACAATCACTAATAACGACCTCCATGCTGTAGATGTTAACGTAACCAAAAACCTATCGGTGCTGAGACTCTAGTCACGCTGAATTTTCATCAAACCTTTGGAAACCGGTTTGGAGTCACGAACATCGTGTGTTTAAGGATGAAGTTGGAATTCACCATATTTGGGTACATAAAAACAATTGAAAAGACGCGTTAGCTTATGAGGCGTTGTATGCTGACTGCGTGGGGAAATTTTCGAATCCTGAATTGTGGCTCAGAATAGGGACTTTGGGCTATACAGTTGATAGAAGGGTTATATTCTTAAAGGTGTACACAGTCAACGCAACCAATCTGTTATGCTCAGCCTATACAGGTTAAGGATGAAGTGATTAACGTAGCGGTATGAACTGCACTACAACCTTAGTTCTCGTAGACACTTGCTTACACGTTGTTCTCTGTTGGTCTAACGAAAAGCACCGAAAACACGGTATTTTTCCTCGGTTTGAAAGTTCCCAACGTGCGAAGATCCTGGATAGCGGAAAAATTTACGCTGATTTGACCCCATTTTTGCACAGCACCGCGGTTGGCAGTAGCAGTATATAGATCACTCTAATACGTCGGCTAAATGCCCTTAAAACTGTTGAAACCAACTCATTGGAAAAAGGTCCCAAACGTGTTCCGTGGTGATCATATGATATAGAAGACATCGTAAATGGAATGCGGACCGTACGCAAAAAGAGCCGCCTGGTTGTTATGCTAAGATTTGATCATATGAGGAGTACCCTATGGGACACTAAAATATGGAAAAACGAAAAGAAGCTACCCGGCGGATGCCATCCGGTCTACCGAATAACAGAACTACTACGCTTAACTATCCACTCATTTGTTGAGCGTGACTTTTATCAGGAAATTATATCTTCTTAAGGCTACCTCTATTAAGAGAACATTCTTTTTGGTATTAGTGAGATGTTGATTGTGTTCCAGCCAGTGATTATGAGGAAACCATTTAACGCATCAATAATGATACCGTTAAAGTAGCGCTTTGATACAACGTAGTGGGGATATCAGTGGAACACAATGTTGATGTACTCACCGAAAACTCAAACCGGTTAGCTCGGCTTGCAGCTGAACCACCTCTTCCTCGCATTCGAAAACCGTTGACAAGGCCGGTGGGGAAGAGGTCGAAATGCTCCGCTGGGTGCGCCTGGATAGGGTCCAGACAAGCGGTGGTGAACTGCCCAATAGGCTGCACGGAGGGCAATCTTTGAAGCTGGATGGGTCTTTCTGGACAATCAGCACTTCTTGGACTGCTGCTTTACAGGCTTCGACACTGCTCCAGTGAACCTAAAGTCATAGTGTATGTGGCATGACAGCAGCGTGTTGAGGACATCAAGAAGGGGACAATTAACAGTAATTAACAATATAGCTGAAGCGGAAGTCACCGAAGTTCCTGATCGCGAATGTTGATTGCCCATAGTCTTCGGAGTTTGAAGCAGACATGTAGCATATTGGGACCAAGCGACTTACGCAAATGACTGTCTGCAACCGCACCACTGCAGCTAATACAAGTCGTATTTTTCGCCAAGGTTACCAGAAATTTACTTGTTTGTTCCGAAATTCGAATTTTACATGAAACAGAGTTAAGTGGAACCACTGCTGGAAACATTTCGAAGGCCAGTTGGACTTAATCAGAATGCTAGCTCACCGTTTCCTCTTACCTACTCAAGCCAACAGGCTGAAACAACCGTCCTGTGGCGCTCGTTGTTTCAAATATTTAACGGCCTGTTTAGAAAACACATTTGCAATTTTTAATCTTCACATGGTAACCGGATCAAGTCTAGTAAAATCTCTACAGTGGGGCCAGTCACCTGAAAGGTAGACGCTACGAAAGACGCGTCCTGGTGTATCTACACGGATTAAAAAATGCAAACAAATCTTTGAGAAAGGACAGTTGAACCAGCCAAAGAGAGACTACTTTTGCTTTGGTGTTTAGTACCAGAAATCTGGAACACAATACAAGTAGCTACGACCTTAATCCGATGGGACAGATCAAAAGTGGCCAGTATAGATGGGTGGCGGTTGGATTTTGCTATCATCACTGACGGCAACAGAAGCTGAGAACACTGATGCTTCACTGTCGTAAAACCATGTCAATTTATTTGAATAAATCTGCTTAACGGAAAGAGGAGGATAGGGCATGGAAGGGGATCTAGGGTTGAATTGCAGACCTGGCTAACATAGGGATTGATTGCACAATTGCAAATAATCACGACACACCGGCCGAGTGACCTTGCTGAATTCAGCAGTGCGGGTAAGAGAAAGCAGGCTACAGTTGAAGTCTCTTCTTTCTCTTCTCCCCCTGCGCATACCGTTTCTAGAGCCATCTCCGTATGCTCATTCTTGAGGACTGACATCCGTTTGCCGCCCATTGCTGCCATCTCCAATATCTTCGGTGGACTTGGCCACCACGCACATCAAAATAGTCCTTCAAACCACGATGCTCAGCCAATCCGACAACTTTTGACGTTCGAACTCCGAAACAAGCAACGGAATAACAGCAGAAAGAGGGATCGACATGAATTATTTCGTATTATAATCAAGTACTTCCTACCGTAATGTGCTATCCAGTGTAGCAGTTTAACAGTGTAATTCCGGGTTAATAGAAGTGGTCTAAGGAATCCAAATTCTAACAGCACCATGAACCTTCCTAATTTTTAACCAGTCATTCATTTTTGCGCGCACCTAATACACATAGACAAAAATCCAAGTGGATGTAACTTCGGATTCCTGGGCTTCAGTGTGAGAGGTAGTTCGAATTGACATACTGAGGTCATTTATGCCAAAAGACAGTACTGACCATCAAAAGTTAGGCGAAGCTAAGCCGGGAAGTACCATAAAACGTCTGTCCCACTTACCTCACGGATCCCAATTTTATACTGCGCGCAACAGTTTAGAAGGATCCAATATCACAGACTTCAAGTACAAATGCACAAACGAACAGACGACACAAGACTATGGTGACACTGAGAATCAGTCCTCACTGCTCGTTGCAGTCTCCTTATGTTAAAACGAATGAACAGTAACCCAGTCCCAGGAGCTTGCAATCGTGACCAATATAAGGTACTTGGAGGTCGGACGGTTCCAAGTCTTCGATTAACAAAGCAACCCCTGTCGTGCCTGATGAACCTCTCCCAGGAGTGGCTTACGCAATCAACATGCGAAGTGTATTTGGTGACCCAGAAACAAATCGGTGTTACCGGGTTACATCCTGACGTACAGAAAGAATGTTAAAGATACACTACTTACCCCGCACAACTGCGCCAGATTCAAAAGATCTGGTACCGTGAATCGCATAATTTCATCCACTTCGACAGTGCTGATGCAACCATCGGAATCACTGCTCGGAAGACAGTAAATACTCAGGAGAGCCAAGGCAAGGCAAGCAGGTCGGAACGAAGCGGCCTCCGTAGAGGTCAATGCCAGTTCAAGCTTCCGACGGAGGAAGGAGGAAAGACCGGTGGTGTCTGGAAGGTATGATAGAGAATCCGACGTACGTTGGTTTCCCAGGGGATCATGTGTGGAGGAGGCTTCGCCCACGCTGAATTGCGCGAAGCACTCCATAAAATTGAGCGCAGTGGCTGAGCAGGCACCAACTGAAGCCACTGTGGCGGGGCTCAGCTTGGTGAGGATAATTTCTACCATTCTGGTCAAATCATTTGCTGTGCCACCGCATCTGGACAGCATGACCAGGCTGTCTGGAGTAGGGAGTAGAACCTCCTGAAAGAAAGCGACAGAAAGTGCCACGCATAGAGGCTCATAGTTCAGACATAAACTAATGCTCATAGGGAAGACGGAAAATAATTAATGAAATAATCGTTCGGCTGTGAAAACTTCTCACTACTTAGCTGTTAAAGCACCCGAAGGAAGCACAAGGGCCGAGATACTGTTAGGGGGCGTAAGCCCAGATAGGAGCAGTCGAGATAACCAGCTCGGGTTCGAACCAAGAACCTTCCGTTCAGTAAATTCGCGCTTTAGCCACCGAGCCATCTTGAGCTGCTGGTTTAAGTGACTGGGCAGCTCAGACTATAGAGGTCTATATGTACCAAAGAGTACGAGGAGGAGATACAGTGAGGGACCAAACGATCATATATGATCATATACAATCATATATGATCCAACAAGCCCAACAAGAAAATCGGATTTGATAGTTGCACTGGTGTTAGAATATATGTGGCGCAGTGAATGAGGTTACTGCTCTGATGTGCTTGTCATGCGCTCATGTGGTAATGTCTTAGTATACTTTTCACTTAATACAACCATTTCGGCGATTCAATGTAGCAAGTGCAATCAAGCTAACCAGTTTAGGGTGATTCCAGACGTGACCGGTCATGCAGACTGAGATAAACCACTTCGATAGTACTTTAACTTCTGATACAGCTCTGTATAAACTGAATGTGATGTACGATTGTTGAGAGTACACGACAACACAAACTAGTGGTATCGGTTGCTGTACTGACCGACCAAATTAAACTTCTGAGCTTGTCCGGAATAACTCAAAACAGTCCTCAGGCCAGACCTTCCTGCCTTCGATGTACTAAAACTACCGCGATCAAGACGTAAACGACAATCACCTAGGGCAATAATACATTTTTGCAAGTACAGTAAAAAAATAAAAGAGGATAAGAAGCCCTGTTCAGACAAGTGACGTGGTGGCCAAGTTAGACAAATCACCAAATCCGACATTTCTAACTAAAGGACCGAAGTTGTGTAACAAACACGACGAACGAACGGCAGAATATCAAGAGATACTAGACTATGGATTTCCGTTGATCCTCAACGAACCCACGGAAAAAAGCACTACTCAGCAAACGATAATAAAACTGCGAAATTCCCAGAACATTCACGCGAAATAATTAAGCGGACGAGAGCATGAGGTGGAAGGACACCTACGATTGGTCAACTGATGAACGGCATGCCGGCAAGTCGATTTCCAGTGAGACGGAATTGAGCATAAGCGAATGAACGGAACCAATATGCTCACAACAAAAAGGTAATAGTTCGACGACAGTTATATCTCAATCGACGGGCACAGTGAGTAAGCTCTGGGGCATGGCAACCCAGCAGGGAATTGACAGCATGTGCACGACCGGCATCGTTCATGTGACACGTACAGTAAGGTTTCTTGCCACGTGCGCTCAAGCCCGGAGATTCTACAGCGCCCAATTCCACTGTATCAGCTTCATTTCGCGCTGCCATGTAATCGACTCCTCGCCGAAAAGAGTTGGGACAAAAACTTCCCTTTGGAAGAAATCGGCTTAGCATGTGTACTACATGTTACACTAGGAAAGCGAAGTGTCATTCGTCTTAAACCCACTGAAATATCTTGTAACACGGTACCTGCGGGTTATTTGAATTCCATTGGAACATTTCAGTAGTCAACATGAAACATGCGTTTCGCACAAGTTTACGTGGTTGGGTATCAAAAATGCAAAATTCGTTTGAACGTTCATATCGGAATGATTTATGGGGTTGTAAACAGAGCCGAATACATATAGGCTGATGTCTCGTACCGAGGTATTCATCGACAACGGAACAGGTGGTACTACCGAAGCATCCACAAACTCACCAATTCTACACAACCCCTAATTCCCTTGCAAGTTACAACACTTCTAACCCCGGTCGAGGCGATGACATCCCCTGGCTTTGTTGGCAGGGTGGTCACAGCCTTCAGGCCCTGAACCTATGAGTTCAGAATGCAAAAAAACTCATAACTATGTGCCACACCAGGTGATATGTTGGCCAGTGGTGTGAGAAAGGCAGCTGATTGCTAACCAACGGATTAANTGCTCTGCATTGGGGTGAATCGGTAATTTAACCGTGACAACCTTGGTGTGATAAGTCATTCACTGGCTGCACAACACGGCCTAGTCAAAATAATTCAACGTAAAGCCTCCACCTATGGATGCCAATGTTGGCAGAAATGAAGCACTGTTTTGAAGAAAACAAACGGAAAACAAACAGAGATAACATTGCACGGTGCATGAGTAGAAGCTGGGAATATGTTCAAAATGGAGCCTTATTAGTACATCCCTCCATATAGTGACCAAGCTGTCTGAATAAGTTGCCCGCAAATATTTTCCCATCGTCTCCAAATTACCAACAATGAAACGCAAACGTTCAAGCTAACGCGGGCATTAGGAGCTACGTCTATATACGTTAGGCAGTAAGCTATGTAGTTGTACGTTTTTCATGGACCCACGCAAACAGCGTATTTTCAGCAGCAATAGGTGATAAGTAGGACCACTTGAATTATCTCAATTAGTCCAAAAAGTTTACAATCTTTCACTTCGAATTCTGTTTAACGAAGGAGATTTTTGAGGTATTTCCACAGACCTGGACAACGAACTAGACAAGTCTTATTAGTTTTGAGGCTTTGGGATGATGCTCTCATATTCTTGTGAAGATCGCTGGGGCAAGCCAGTCTTATTACCGACCATGAAGTGTACTATTCTTTTTAGAGACTCGTCTTCAAACGGGAAACGAAATGCGACGAGTATTCAAAATCCCTCCGGGCGAACGAAGCGTCACCACAGCTGACTTGACTGGTTCCCTTTGGTAGTTCTTCGCGGGCGAAATCTATGGTGTAGTTCAAGGACAAATTGAACCAGGGTTCATAATGCTTTTCTATTCCTTGCTCCAGTGACGAAGTCACTGTCTCACTGAAACCTTGTATCCAACTCCGGTAAATGAAGCACGACTCTCCACAACTCAGTTGCCCTTTTAGCCTACACTTCACACCTGTTGTGGTTGAAACTCCTGTCAGAAAAATTCAACATATAGAGAATGATTTAACGACTTTTCATCCGGAATTCTTTCACGGGTTCGTAGATCGGCCTTCGTTTCAGAGCAGTAGAAGGATAGGACAATCAACCTAACTTAGAGGAAGGGCTGGTGGTCCAATTATCTGGAGGCCCATTATTTATCGCCTTTTTTGTCTCCATCCCTTCCAAACCGACAGAGAAGAAACTAAAAGGTTGCCATAGAATCTTTCGGGCAAAACAGCACGTCCTGTACATTTTTCTAGGACTAGTTGATCGGACTTCTTTTCAGTCTGCCGTTGCGCTGCATGGACCGGTTATAATAAATTTAACCGTTCAGCCGACACACTTTCGGTGCCTTGCTGTCATGCCATCCAAAGGAGAGGGCTGGGATACTGCCAGGTGGTTCAAGCGTAGACAGAGGGAGTCGAGATAAAGTGCTCAGGTTCGAACGAAGGGCCTTTCGGTCGGTAAATCGCGCTCTAACCAATCAGGCAACTCGCCCGCGCATGAAGCGGTACACTCACTGTTTTATATGCAACCTTCCGTTCTTTTGGCCTATTATTCACGGGTATCAGGTTGTGTAGGTTAAAACGTTCTATCCAAGAACACAGCATAGTGAAGTGAAGGACGCAGAATCCAAGTGGCTATTAGATGCTCACAATGAAGGTAAAAGGCATATGAACCTTTTAGCTGTTTAAACCTATGATCCTATGACCTCATTCAGGAAAAAGCCTAAACACACTCATCCAAAAGGATCTCAGCAACCAGGTTGTGCTAATAGTCTGCAGCCGCACCGTTATCCTCATTGATCTTCTCCACCAATTAGGAGGAATAATACCAAGAGCATCTGTGGGTATCTACGTACGGTCACATGAGTAAGTGGTAAAGGCTTGCAGTCCATTGTCCGAACACAATGAACACTTATTGGAAGGAGTCACCAAATACATCAAACAGCTGCACAATGCTTTTCGGCATAGACTGGCCTTACTGACAGGATGAAATTTCAATTAAAATTATCATTCAAGCGACTGAATCTACAACTCTGTTAGCCTAAAGAAACGACTAAAAGAATCCAAGTTTCCTGTTGAAGCGGTGACGAAAAAAACCGACAAATGAGCTTCAATTGTTAGGATCCATGTGGATTACTTACCGTCATACGTTCAAACTTTGAGGCAATATAGTAACAAGCGGCAGCCACACACATTGCGTATTTCGGTTTAACCTGTAGGAAAATCAAACTCCTGAGAATGCATGAATTACCTTGACTTTCGAAATGAATAAATCCAGGAGACAGGTCGTCCTACAAAAGCTTAGGGACGACAGGTTGTAGAAGGCACTATGAAGCCACCAAAGCCTAGAGAGGGTCTCTTTCCGAAGCGTCGAATCTAGCTTATCATCCAACTCCTTCAAATAACGGATGGTAAGTACACATCCTTACCGAGTTGACCATTAGCAAATGAGTTGAGTCCACATGGATTATTTCTTCCTGTCTCAGAAGATCACACAGGCGATCACGGAAAGCGGAATGAAACTAAACAAGGGTTATGAAATACAACCCATTTAACTTGACATACTGATAAGGCCTTTGGAGTATATGTGCCCCGAAAGAGAGGAGAACCCAGCTTTTCTCTTTCCAAAGGAAGATCCAAGTTCCAGAGACCAAAATTATCTGCGCCATCCGCAGGTAATCCGGATGACCGGGGGAATGCTGACGGTAGTCTTTCAGGCAGATTAGAGACTTCTGATTTGTTCGACTTTTTCTTGCAACGTCGATTTCTTTTGCAGTTCACAGACGAAATGAATGCTTTCGGAATTTCGGCTCCTGTAGTTCCAAGCACACGCATAACACTACGTGTTCCTGTCACCATCATTCCCGGAGTTCCGACCGGTCCTGCGAGCGAGTGCTGAAAAGGCAGCTCCAACACGGCTGATGCGCTTTGTGCAACGGAGGCCAAACGGCACTCGACCGCGATTGGACGTCTGCTGACAGCCTTGAATGACCGATCAGCTGTTGTTGTCCTTTGTTCCGATAACTGAAGTTCATAAGTTAAAACAAATACCCCTGTCTTTATGCGGACTGACTCTAATCGTGTGATTCGAGTTTTTGGCTGTAACGTGATGAAAACCGGGGCTCAGTAATCGAACAATGGAAGTGAATTTTCAGAAGCCTTGATGTGTCTCTGATGAACTAAAGCAATTGGGTTCAGTGTAACAATCCAAATTTTGAGGCCTAATTAGGTATCCCGGGCTATCAGCGATGATGATGGGATTGCTTCAGTGGACAGTGAAGTTTGTTGAGCTGCATGGTTTTAGTACATACGCTATAAAAATGCAACATTTTGGTGCAAAAGATTTTAATCCACTCATAGAGGTTGTGCAGCTAAGAGTGTTGTGCGGCTAACAAATCTCATAAAAACCAAATTGTACCTGCTAAGACGCGTTTATCACATGACTTAATGCATATCGCTCTCTGTCCCTATTGAAGGTGCGTTACCAGAGTTGCGCTTGTGGTTTCGGTTCCAGGACATGCCTTTTGTCGCCTCGCTCCTGTCCTCTTGCATGATTCATCCAACTTGTGCGAACAAGTGTTTTGTGTGCCGTGTGGCTATATTTTTACCAATTTACTTATCCGCTCAATCCATATCCGGCATGTGCCGTCACCACGTCCTTATGAACATCTAGTACAGGTGACGTCCCACTGACGTCCCACTCTACACGGCCTGAGGGCATCTATGTGGCCGATCCCTGGAAGCACACCGCGAATTTCTTTAAACCTTTGTTTGAACGGAGGAAGCTTCAGTATACCGTTTTAGCATATGGTCATATATATTGAAAGCTCCAAAATCTCTCAAAACTGCAGCCGATTTACTAGTATTTGTTTTCGTGTCACCAAAGGTCAACTGTGGGCACGGAATACATATTTTCAAGGCCGCTAATGGCTTGGTATAACATCCCCGCGAAGGTGATGGGAAATTTTATTGAAATCTGGTGTATTCACGTGTCTCCTCTTGTATTAGATTTGGAAAAACCTCAGGACTGCATGAGAATCAATTATGACTTTTTGCCCGTGCAAGCTCTCAATGAGGCAGCATTCCACGAACTGTATAGGAAAAAGTTTCTGTCGTTACAGCAGCCGACTCGCCGGGCAAGGCAAAGGAATACGCCACAGCCTGTAACCATTTTTTCCATGGCCAGCACAGGCTGTATCCGCTACATCGCAAGGTTTTATCTTTACCGGTGTACTGACTCATTGATGGAGCAATTGGAAGAAGTGGTGAGTTTACGGGCCAATGAACAGATTACACTACGCTAACCGGTGCTTGGAAGCTCCGACAAAAATTCAACAGATAGGAATCGTTCTCTGGTCGCGTTTAACATGATCGGTTGCGAAATAGTAGAGATGGATGAACTGCGGGCATGTCATCCAACTGGGTATGGCAGTCTTTTTACCGTCATCATGGCGTCGTACCTGGGTTTTTAGGCATTCTAGAATATGTGCATCTTGGGTACGTCAGTTGGGGTTCTCAGGGTAGGTAAGAATGCCCAGGAAATCATGACAAATTAAGGCCAGCATAGATGAAGAATATGCTTATGTTCATCAAAGGTAAGATATGGTTTAGCGCTGCCATTCAAACGAAGCATAAGACAGTGATGATCACATTGGAGACCCAAAATAGGAAGAAGTGTCGAAAACGTCTGCTAGTGTGTACCATGTTATTGCTTAAACTGCGGCTTGAAATAACAGACAGCTTATGGTGGTCACAATTTTCGAAAACTGTAGTGAAACGATACTTTCCGATCTAATCAATTTCCACGTGGACGTGTTGGGTTTACGGTCAATACGAACACATGTGGGCATGAGCGAATATGAGGGAAGTGACTGAGAGCAACTGTGCTCGACCTGCGTGGACAAAGGATCAAAGAAAAACTTCAGATGTCTGGTGGTGCTACGAGTTCCAGCGATGAGGTAACCTCAGAACAGCGCAGTTTCAGCCCAAGTAAAAGCGTGAAGGAGGACTAAAGGAACAATATGTAAGTTAATCCTTTTACAGTGAGATTCCAGCCCGAGCGTGAACACTGTCGGATATTGTGAACAGCGGGATTTCTGATGCATTTGGTAGATTAGCCTTTACGAGTTTTTAATCATGCGTTTTCACTTATTTTCGGCATATGCGCACGGGTTGCAACTGACCAAACATTTTTCTAAGAAAAATTGTCGAGTACAAGCGGCTTCCCAAAAACGAGAACTGGACCGACTGTACATTACGTTTGGACTGATGTTCAAGATAATAAACACTCCTAATCACCCTTTAAAACATTTGTTCACAGTTAATTTGGCCCGACCGACCCGAGGGAATCCATTGGCCGTTGACATTCCATGTTCCCGCATTAACTGTCGGCGCTACTTTTTTTCAGTCCGCGTGTCCCTCACGTGGAACAAACTACCAACATCTGTTGTGGATTGTGGTAACCTCGAAACTTTCAAACATTCGCTTGACGAATACATAAGATCTCACCCAACTTCCCTCATCAACATTTGAGATGCAGATTACAAACAATAGAACATATATATCATATCATTCCGTTTATCTGTATACATACACACACACCAATATCCTTTGGTCATTGTAAAGCAAAATGCTTTTTAGACCAATATAACCTTGATTTACCTTGATTTAATCAATGAATAGAAACTATTCGCCAAGGGTGACTAGACTTTTCAGGTGTGGCTTGGCAGACGGATGCTGAATTATCGGCGGCTGAATTAAGCTATCATACATTGTTGAGGCCTCATACCCATCGTCCCATATAGATACGACAATACCTGTCGCGGGAAAGAGCCATGGTAAACGAAAACCCATAATGTGAAAGTGAGGAAGGTCTGTCAGTGGCTGTCGGATTGAGCTGTCATACATAGTTGGGGCCAAAATCAGCCTTGCGCACAGGCAAGGGCCTTGCAGTCACCATAAGTAGACGAGATATGCAAAAACGCGTAGGGTTATTATGATTAAAGGCAAAGGTTGGCCTTGTTTTCGGGTGATGTCGCTGCGCATTTAGGCGTGGTCCATCCCACTAACGTCATGGTTTCTGGCGGGAAGGATCCATCACCGAAATTTGGTAATGCACACACCTCCAGCTGCCGGGCGATAGATGGTCATTTACGTTATTTGTTAACATCTCTGTTTTGGCGTTAACGTTGTTTTTGAATATTAACTTTTCCAACTGGTGTCGCCTTCTGTCATTCCTTCCAACCATTCGCGGTGAATCACTCCATTATATTCAGCAACATAGGGGACTGTTTAAGTACTGAGGGAATGAGAGTTCTTCCGATCGTTAGAGACACCCCGAATGTCACCGAAAGCATAGTGAAAAATTTCACGCAAAGTTTTCTCATTTGACAGCATCTATTCGAAATCTTACAATATTTTCAGGCAGTCTTGGTTTTGTCAAAAATTGTTCAAGCGTACTGAAGACCTACTTTACGTACGGAACTCCTATTTTTTATTGGTGCCTCGGCTCATCATGATCCGTCTGCGAGTAGAACATTTCGCTGGTAAGTCGGTTCTCTCGTGTGATATTTTGTTGGAATTGAGAATATTTTAGAGGGATACATGAACAACATGTAGGCCGTCCCTGTCCTCGCAAACTCAAAATTGAGAAGTCACTTGCCAGTTTTGCAGAAAAGTGTTTGTTATGCTTGCAGCAGAAGCCCGTCGAACAAAGACAAGGAATTAATCGTTCTCAGTGGGCTTTTATGACTCTTTGTTGGCAGTCAATACACGCTAAATCTGGTGTCCGGCGAGGTTCTATCCTCAACGGAATGATGAATGCTTGCTAGCCACGAAAGAAAAATTGGTAGGCAGATGGTGAGAACGAGATTAACAATAAACTGCTTGGTTCATCGGAGTTTTGGCGCAACTTCAGTGAACGTAGGAGGCTTTGTTACACGCCGATTCAAAAAACGTAAAGGTATGGTGGGGCACGACGCGAAATTCCGAGCAGCTAAGAGTGGTTACGTTTTTGAACTACTATGGTGGGCTGATCCTACCCGATTCCCAAAATGTTAATTGGCGTTCCGTTGAAGATAGTCGGAACCGCGATATACGGCCGACACGAACGAGGCTGGCATTACAGGAAATGTATGTGAGAGCTGCAGAAGAATACAAGATAACAGTTTGAAGCCGCGAAGAACAGCAGCCTACTGGCCAGCGATATATATATAGCTGTATGATACCATATGATGTGCAGAAAAAGGTGATAACTAATCGCGGAATTAGGCGAATTTGGAGGAAATAGTAGTTCAGACCATACAGGGGTAAGAAGAGCCTGTGGGTTGCATGCTTCTGTTTCATGGTGAGAAAACCATGTGCCCAAGAAACCCAAGAAACGAGGCGCATAGTTTCCAAAACGGACTGCGGCAGGTGCGTCACTTCTCATGCATTTATTGGGTGTCTAATAACACCAACATGTGGCAGTATTCTTCCGCTTAATCGATGTTTTGGATTCGCAGAAGAATTTCCAGGGATATATTCTGCAACCTGAGAAAGATTAGACCAGTGGTAGAAGCGTTCGATTTGAGCTCCGATCGTCGAAATTTTCTGTGTACGTTGTTAGTACTGACAGTTTCCATGACGATTCAGTAATACTAATTGGAGCATTGTTAAAATCACCGATAGGCTTTGGTGGTGGTACATGAAAAAGGCCAACTCAGCGTGTGTAGTGTCAGGGGACGTGTACCCCAAACTTAGGCAATCAAACGTACCAAACTTCACTGTCGCTTGTTGGATCATCAGGGACGGTTGTATCTTATCAGGGGTGTTTATATTAGTCACTTGTGTATGCGATTATTTTATAAATGACTTTGGAGGTCAAAATGGGTGGCAACAAGCCGGTATGAACGTTGAATTAGATGAGGTTCAAACTATATGACAC